CGGGTGTTCCGGTCCACCTGTCCTCGGGTGTTCCGGTCCACCTGTCCACAGGTGTTCCGGTCCACCTGTCCACGGGTATTCCGGTCCACCTGTCCTCGGGTGTTCCGGTCCACCTGTCCTCGGGTGTTCCGGTCCACCTGTCGGCAGGTGTTCCGGTCCACCTGTCGGCAGGTGTTCCGGTCCACCTGTCCCCAGGTGTTCCGGTCCACCTGTCCGCAGTTGTTCCGGTCCACCTGTCCGCAGGTGTTCCGGTCCACTCGTCATGAACAATCTGCTCCAGCTGTGTCAGGTCTGAAGGGTTTCTTCTCCAGATGTTTCAGGTCCTTCCTCAGATGTTCATCAGGTTTGGATCAGGGCTCAGGACACTCCAGAACAGTCCAGTGTTTGGTTCTGATCCGTTCCTGGCAGTTTTTAGCAGTTTGTTTTGGACCATTATCTTGTTGGAGCATCATTGTCCTCTGACTCAGACCCAGCTTCCTGGCTGAGCAGCACATTTCACTCCAGAGTGCTTTGATAGTCTTGAGATTTCATCGTCCCCTGCTCAGATTCTGGACACCCTGATCCAGAGCAGAACCGAGCCTCCACTGTTCTGTAGGTACTGGGTTCTGTTGTTTGCTCCAGTGTTGGTTCTGTGAACACAGCTGATGGGACTGGTTGTCAAAAAGCTCCAGTTTTGTCTCATCTGTCCACGGGACATTCTCCCAGAAGCTTTGTCCTCTCAACCAGTCCTTGTTAGGATCTGGTGTCCTCCTTGGGCCACTTTGTCTCAAACAGACGGAGGGTGTGATCTGACACAGATGACCTTTGACCTTGGCGTTCACCTCTAATCTCTTTGGAAATTGTTCTGGATTTTTTACTTATCAATCATATTATCAGTCTCTACAGTGTGTCCTCAGTTGTCCTCTTGTGGACACATCCAGGGATGTTGTCTCCAGTCCTGTGGACCTTCTGAATAATCCGAGCAGCTGCAGTCAGAGGAACATGGAGCTGCTCTGATAGTCTTGACTTCAACATGATGTCAGTCGTTGTCTTTCTAAGCTCTGAGACACTGTCCTCACTTCCTGTGGTCCATGTGCAGTGTGCTACACACCTTGCTGCCAAACAGCCCTGTGACTACCTGCTACTCTTTAAATAAGCACGATGACCGAGTACAGACACACCTACTGACGAAGTATCAGGAACAACATCACCGCCTTTCATTACAGCTCGTATTATTACGTGACGTTAATATTTCCTGAGCCGATAGTTTTTTGTTTTTCCTCGAGACGTCTCATCTGTTTTCCTTCTTGTTCCTGTGCGTCTGAGCAGCGACACACCAGAGCGGCCATAACAGCGGCGTTGTCCACAGCGGGATCTACTACACCCCGGGCTCCCTGAAGGCTCGGCTGTGCGTACGAGGAGCTACGTTGGCGTACGAGTACTGCGAGAAGAAACGAGTCCCTTACAAGAGATGTGGGAAGGTCTGCTTCAGATAAGATCCGTCTTTTTGTCCGTTTCCCTCAGGCGGAGCGGCCGACACTAAACTGGGACTGAGACGCTTCAGGACGATTTTGTCTCTTCTCTTTTTACTGCCTTTTCTTTTTAATGTCCTCTTTCGTGTCATTCTTGTAGTTTTACGCCTCGTTTTTGTCTCCTTTCTGTCCTTTGTGTCTCCTGATGGTTCCTGTCTGCCCCCACAAGCATCAGTTTTGTCTCCTGTCCACATGTTTGTTTTGTCTCATTTCTTTTGTCTTTGCATATCTCATTTTGTCTTTTTAGTTTCTGTCTTTTGTCCTTTTCAGTTCCCTTAGTTTTGTCTTTTTATGCATTCTTTGTCTCCCTGTGTGGCATTTTGCATCGTTTTAGTATTTTTAAACGTCCTCATGTGCTTCTTTTGTCTCTTTGATCTTTCTGTGTCTTGTCACGAGTCCTTTTAGCCGTTTATTTTTATGTCCATTTTGTCTCCTTATGCGTTATTTTAATTTTAATTTCTCCTTTAATGTTTTAGTTTAATTTCTCAAACGCGTTCTTTTTGTCTTCTTAAGCGTCCATCTAATGTTTTCAGTTTGCAATGCATTTATTTATTTATTTTTAAGCTCATTTTTTGTCTCTTTAAATTAAATTATTGACATTTCGGCTAATATTCAGCTGTCACACTCTGTTCAGCTACATAGTTTTTGCAAAGTCTTTTGGCTCTTAGCATTCTCTTGTTTCCAGTTGGTGAATTTTAAACGCGTCTGTTTTTTATTTTTGGCAGCTAATCGTCGCTGTGGAGCAGGAGGAGATTCCCAGACTGAAAGCGCTGCATGACCGCGGCACCAAGAACAACGTGCGCGACCTCAGCCTCGTGGACGCCAAGGGGATCAGAGAGCGAGAGCCCTACTGCAGGGTAAAGACTTTATTTAGTTGTTTTTGAACAGAAGGCCGCGAGTCGGGAGAGGCTAATGAAACGTCCGCTGTCCAGGGAATTCTGGCCTTGGACTCGCCCAACACCGGCATCGTGGACTGGAGGGCGGTGGCTCTCAGCTTCGGTGCAGACTTCGAGGAGGCAGGTGGCACAGTGGTTACTGAATACGAGGTCAGCAACATTTCCACAGCCAAGGAAAGCCCAGCCGGGAGCACTGAAGGTAAAAAACAGATTTTAAAAACGGTCGATTAAAAAAAGAAGTAGCTTCCTTTGAGTCGAGTCACTCGGTGCAACACGTGAAGGGACGTCACGCCTTTAGACTAATGACGTGAAGATGACCAGTGACGGGCGCCCTCCTCGGCTGGAAATCCCCTCTAACTATAAAAACGATGATTGCCCCTCCCCCATAATTCATCTGATGAAACTATATTTAAAGCAGTGTAAAGAAAATACAGCATATCCTCCGTTTGTGTCAGCAAAACGATCCGTGGAGACGCCTGAAGACGACGAGCTGCTGTGAAAATCCAACGCTTAGTCGAGTCCTCGTGGCTCCGTGTTGGCTGGAGCAGCGGTTTGCGCATCTGCCTCTCATTTGTCAGCATGCGGTTTGATTCCCGTGGAGGGAGGTTTGTTTACATCATTCTTAACTAAATTTAAAAAAGATTTAGCTTTAAGTAGATGGCAACAATAATATTTTTATGAAGTTTAAATTGATCTCTGATTAATTCAGTTCAGTTTATTTATAAAGCACCGAGTCACAACAGATGTCATCGCTTCGTATATATAAATAGTAAGTTAATAACGTTTTTATCCTTAATTTTTTATTGTGTTGTTCTGTGTGGATGCATGTCAGACATTTATCGACCTGTATTTATAATTTATAAGATTTTATTATTTTGTAACTAGAAGAAAATGTTTATCTTGTAAGACCTCGTGACCCAGAAGCGAAATCAGTCGTTTTAAGGAGACAAAAGTGAGACAAAAATGAGACAAATGACACAAAATGACAAATGAGACACAAATTAGACAAATGAGACAAAAATTAGACAAATGAGACACAAAAATTAGACAAATGAGACAGAAATGAGACAGAAATGAGACAAAAATTAGACAAATGAGACAGAAATGAGTGTGAAAGGAGGAGGAGAAAGACGTCCGGTGCTCCTATTAGTTTCTGCAACTTACCTGTGAACATGAAAAATACTGTTTCGTTTCACTGAACAACATTTGACTCTATCTTGAGACAACCTGTCCACGTGGACGGGTGGACAGGTTGACGGGTGGACAGGTGGACGGGTTAGTTGAATATAAAGCAGATGCTGGGCGTGATGTCTCGTACTTCATGTGTTGTACCTGGTTCCTCTCCTTCAGGGAACAGAAGTTAAATCCATAACATGTTTTTTGTTCACACATCCATCCTGTTTCCCGTTTTCTGATTTTAGGAATGAAATATCCCATTTCGATCAGAGATAAAAAGGTAAGATTTAAACAGTAAAACTTTTAAAATGCATTCAGTTGTTTTCCTGTTAAGTTTCTTCTGTAGGTTTTTGGACTCTTGTCTACATGGGCAAACGTTCAGCTGTTTGGACTGCTTCATGGACGAGCACCGTCCATTCATGTTTTCATGCTAACGTTACATTTAACCCAACAAACTCTCTGGCCTTGGTGCCACATCTGGTTCAGGTGACGGTGCTGACACATGGAAAACAGAAGACTGAGGGAAATGTCAATTTATCACAATTATTATTGTCATCACAATACTAATCGATGATATTGCACTTTTTGTGACGTTTTAAAATTATTAAAAAAAATTTTTCCTCATACAAATACATCGGCACCTCTTCAACGTCCAGTTCATCTTAAAATATTTTGGCTCTTTGAAAGCTTTAGCATCCTTGTTTAGTTTTAAGCTTATAGCTGCTGTAGCTTTAGCTAGTTTAGCTTTTGTCTTTTAGCTAATGTTTGCAAATTTCGACCATCGTCTAATGCTAATTTCACAATTTAATGACTGTTGTGCGAGTTTTAGCAAAACAGATGCGTCTTTGGGCCCTGAAGCAACGTTCAAGGTTCTTTATCGTCGTTCACATCACACCTGGTACACGAGGTGGAACAAAATTGTGTACTCAAGGTCCCAGTTACACCCAAAAATATAAAGTATAAAAAGAAACAGTATATAAGGATCAAAGATATATATATATATATATATATGCTAAACAATCATCATCATCATCATCATCAGCTTTTATTTATAAAGCGCTTTAACACGAGCCACAGCTGAAACAAAGTGCTGGACATCAGTAATAAATAAGATTTTAAAAAAGCATAAAAATAAAGTTATGAAGCTAAGCACACAATAATGAATTAAAAACTCGTATAATACTGTGTATTTATCAGCAGCCAGGTAGCAACAGAGCTGAAACGGTCAACATACTCGGGTGCAGGACAACAACAAACTGATCAGCCAGAGAAGATCCATGACGACACACAGCAACTTTGTACTTACATTTAATAAATGTAAAATAATCTCTGAAGTACCGTAATGTCCAGTGTATAGAGTGCACCCGAATATTAAGCCGTGCACTCAAAAATAATAATAATAATAATAATTGTACTTATGTGCCTGTGTATAACTTTTTTAATTAAATTCGTACCAGTAACATACACAAATATGTACATTATGGTAAAAATTTCTGAACAGTGTCTTTAACACGGCTGGTTAATAAAATAAAAAAAATAAATACAGCAGCTTACCAGGAAGTCATTGATCACGATCTTCAAGCTGTCCTGCTCTACAAGCAAAAAGTGCTCTGAGAGCATGTGAGTCTCATGCTCCGAGCATGTGAGACTCACATGCTCGGAGCATGCAGGGGAATCCCCCTTGGGGGGGGGGGGGGATTTCGGGATTTCCCCCTCATGTCTCTCCTTCCCTCTGTTTAATTGGTTTGACTGGGACCTGTTCGGTAATTTCATAGGTAAATTTTTTTTAACCTTTTATTTATACCAGTAGTCTCATTGAGTGACGAGGGCCCTCCTCCCCACGAGAGACGTGCATTAGCAGCTCTGTGTGCACCCAGGTGTGACGAGGCTCAATGTTTTGGTGGCAGGAAGCTCGTTAACACATTAAAAATTGCATTGTAAAAGCCACGGGGTTCAAAGTGTGTGAAAAAAGTGGCGGCTTGTGGACCAGAAATTACGGTAATTAAAAATGTTTTTAAAACAATTCGAGGGGGCCGTTCATCAGAGTTCTGCTCCTCTTTAGGTTCAGCGCTGCTTAATCATCTTCTGTTGAACAAAATAAATGTGTTTATAGTTTATGAATTCACTGTCAGTAAAACAAAAAGAATTAAATTATCTTTAATCAGCCTAAAGTTTGGTAGATTTCTATAGAAAACTAGATGTGACTCGGAGGACATGGAGGTTGTCGTAGCTGTGACACGTGATGGGCAGACGTCCAGCGTTATCAAATTATAATCATGGATATTATGAGATTCTCTCGGTGAAGCAGGTCGTGAACTGGAGCTTCTTGAGTCGAGTCGTTCAGCGCTCACGCTGCAGACGTTTCTCGTCTTTGACTTGTGTTTTTTCCAACAGGGTAACGAGGTGCGGTGCAGGTATGTCCTGACCTGCGGGGGCCTGTATTCAGACCGGCTGTCGCAGATCTCTGGATGCAGCCCGGAGCCGAGGATCGTCCCTTTTAGAGGAGACTATCTGGTCCTGAAGCCAGAGAAGCGCTTCCTGGTCAGAGGAAACATCTACCCTGTAAGTGCTGAAGGCTGAGTTTGACCCGAACATAAACACGAGTTCTTCCTGCTAAACGTTCTCAGCTTCATCAAACCCCAAACTCTGCTTTCTTTTAAATATTTTGAGGGAAAAAATGCAACAGCTTTGAGTTCATTTCACCTCTTGGCTTTCAGTCTCGTAAAAACTTCAGGCCAATTTTGAGCAGCTAAAATAATTTGGGATAATCGTTCTTAAAATAATAAAATGTGTTGATTTCCTCTTGGATTATTTATTTTTGCTCTAAACCGGGGGTGGGCAGCTGTTTTGTCCAAAGGGCCAAATCAAAGTAAGTAAAGCGATAGAGAATCTCAAAATATTTTTTATTAAGACACAATATCTTTCAAAATAAAAGTTTTTCAGGCTTTTTCTTGTTGTGAGGTATGGAGATTATCCAGGGGCCACTGTTGGCCCTCGGGCTGTACGTTGCCCACGTCTGCTCTAAACGATCACATAAACAGTAAAATCAACAAATATATAAATTATTACAAATATTTAGCTTTATTCCTCTTGCCCTCATCTTGTCTCTCCTCCTGAAGGAGCTCTGCCCTGCTGCTGCCTCCCATCGTGGGGGTGGGGGCACCAAAACATCAGCTGCATTCAGAAAGTGCAGCTTTTAACAACAGACGGTTTATAAGAGAATGAATAACGTCTAGATGAAGGGTGTGATTTGGGAGAACTGCTTCCCTCCAAGTTTTGCTGAAACCAAACGACTGAGAAACGTTTGAAACCAAAACCTTTAGATGAGTCGGGGGTGGGGGGGGGGGGACTCGTTATATTACCTGTTAGTAGCTTGTCACTATTGTCCGACTGAAACTCAGTTCCAAGACTGAAAAGCTGCTCCATCAGATCTGACTGGTCTGTTCACAAAAGAAGAACGGGCAAAAGTTTCAGTCAGTTGAAGCTGGTGAAGACAAACCTGAAGTGCTGCAGCTGGAACCGAATCCTAAAAACCAGTTTTTCCACGTCCAGTCTCGCCACAAGACGCCTCGATTCTCCTCTGGTACAAAAATGACAAAACGCTCCGTCTTCTGCTCGGTTTCAAAGTCCAGCCCCTGAAGAAAGACCTAAAATCCTGACTCGGGGATCGCTGAATGCAAAAGAACGTCACACAGTTCAAGTTTTTATTTGTGAAAATTCTCGGAAAATGGGTCTTTTTTTTATCTGCTTCTCTTTTATTTACTACTTTATGTTGATCTATCACGTAAAAGTCCACTAAGGGACTTTGTTTGTGGTTGAACTTTGCCAAAATGTATAAGAAAGTTCAAAGTACAAACCATTTTCAAGGCAACTTTTGCCTCTTTCTTCATCTTTAAAAACATTTTGAAGCAAGCATTTAAAATGTTCCATTTAATAAAACATTGAGACGTTTTTGAAAATGATCGTTGTCAGTTTGCTGCTGAGTTTGGGTGAATTTGAGTTTTTGGGTGATTTCTGTAAAACCTTTATCAGGTTCCTGACCCCCGCTTCCCATTCCTTGGAGTTCACTTCACCCCACGGATGGACGGGGGCGTTTGGCTCGGCCCCAACGCCGTCCTCGCCTTCAAAAGAGAAGGCTACAAAACGTGCGACTTCAACGCTCGGGACTTTGCAGATGCGCTCTCCTTCAGGTGCGTTCCTGCGGCGTTTCTGTTCTGTGGCGTTCGCGACATCAAACTTAATCCGTGTCTTTTCACCCTGCAGAGGCCTTCAGAAGCTCGTACTGAGGAATCTAACTTACGGCGTTGGAGAAATGTACAGAGGCGTCTTCATCGGCGCACAAATCAAAATCCTGCAGAAGTATATCCCTGAGCTCTCGCTAAACGACGTCCTCAGGTACACAGAGTGCACCGATAAATCCCGATGCTGTCGGGAGTTCCAATTCACTAACAACATCACCGTTGGACCTTCTGTGAACCGGTTTGATTTCTTGTCCAGGGGTCCTGCAGGAGTTCGAGCTCAGGCCCTCGATCGTGACGGAAACCTCGTGGATGACTTCGTGTTCGATGGGGGCGTTGGAGACGTGGGCGGCCGGGTGCTCCACGTGCGTAACGCTCCCTCGCCGGCAGCCACCTCCTCTCTCGCCATTGCTGAAATGATTGCAGACGAGGTGGAGGGCCGATTCCAGCTGTGACCCCGAAAGGAAACGAGCAGGAGGTCCAAACATCTGGACAGGTGTCACTAAATGGAACCGTTCCAGCTGTCAGAGACGTTCTGATGCGCGCCAGCTCTTAATTTATCTGAGGATCCAAGTATCTTTTTAATGACGGTTGTCACTCAAGTGCCATGTCCGGTTGCACAAACCTTTACTGCCTCACGTTGCTGTAAAAAATCACTTTGCACTACGTTACTTTCTACAAGTAAAACCCACACTGAGCCAAGATTAGCAAAGCAGACGGACTCCTTTGTTGGTACCTTTCTACAATTAAACAACAACCTCTGAATTAACCCAGAACTGGAGTTTAAACGCTTAATGATCGTTTGTTCAATTTCCGTTCAGTTTGTTTATAAAGTCACAACAGAAGTCGTCTCAGGACACTGTACAAAAACATTCCCATACATAAAAATTTAATTGGTAGAAGTTCTCTCTCTAAGGAAGCAGCAGGTTGAGTTGAATCTTCACTTAGTCACAGTCTCTCATCCTGAGCAAGAACAAAGGAGACAGTGGAAAGAAAAACTCCCTTTAACAGGAAGAAACCTCCAGCAGAACCAGGCTCAGGACAAGTGATCATCTGCTTCAACCAGCTGGTTTGAGAGGACAGGAAGTAGAAACAAACAGAATGACAGGTTCAGGTGAACTTTCTTTAGGAGGAAAGATAAAAAACACATTAAAATATAAATAATTACAAACACAAACAGGAGTAGAGCAAGTAAAGAGGATGTTATTACCCAACGATTTAAAACGCAACAGGTTCATAAATACACCTAGACACCGAGTTCTACAAAAATATTATAATTTATTAATATTATTAAAACAAATAATCCTATTAAATCACAGGCTTCAGGCCTATTACTCCCACTTTAGACACTTGTTTTAAATTTAATCACTTAAAGTGCCTGTGACGTCAATTCTTTTTAATCAATATGAATACATTTTTGGATAGATAACATAAATAACGTATTGCAAAATAAAAATCTTGCCGTTGAGATGAACAGTTGTTCAGATATTCTCTTGCACAGTAACAGGAAGTGATGTCAAAGGGGAACAACATTGCTACAATCATGGCTGACAACACGGACAGAAGAATCTGTTTCTTTGGATTATTTTCAGTCTGAGAGTCAGAGTTCAAATTGGGTTTCATTAAACAAAGACCAGGAAGTTCCCCCTTTTACAATGATGTCACTTCCTGTTTCACTTTGGCCGCTCCAACTTAAAAAGAAAATCTGCCAGTTATGTGACAAAATGGGTGAAATCATGAGTATTATAGAAAACTTCTTGCATGTTGAGAGTTTTCTTCCACTGTATTTGTAGGATACACCAGTCACAGGCACTTTCCAGATAAATTAAGTATTGTTTCAATAAGTTGTTAGGATATTAACAAATTCTGAAATTAGACATCTTATATAGCCATTATGAATATTGTTTTAGTTTTTCAAGTGGTTTTGTTGCTGTGAATGTAGATATGGGGTTAAGTGCCTCATTTGACACTCGATTGCACAGAAAGCTCAATTCAGTTTTATTATTATTGGGATTAAAAATCAGAGGTTAAATGGAGCAGTTTTTGAGTGTTACAATTTTGTTTTTAATGTTTTAATATTTCAATGCTGCATTAGCAGTTTGGAGATTTGAAAAATGTATTTTTCACTGGTATTAACACTTGGGTATTTTTCTTTATAATTATATATATATATATGGATATTAAAATGAACAACTCATCTGGGGTTTATGCCATGAATGTTTTTTTATTTTATTTTATTTATTTTTTGGCACGCAAGTCTAAGATCTAATATCATCTTAAGATTCTAACAAATTTTGGGGCTGAACTTGACTTATCCAAGTTGTAAAATAAAATAAATATAGTCTCTGGAGATACCGCTGAAATGTCACTGAGTGTAAAGTTTGTAAACTATTGTGAACATCATTTTAAAATCAGTTATCAAACCCAGTAGTTCCCAAACTATTTTATACTTTCTACCCATAAAATAAAAGTTACATGGACTCTTTATGAACATTGCTAATAAATTGTCTAGGGTTCCTGGAAGGAATAAATGTCACCCGTCACCTTTCAGGACAAAAATCAACACTGAAGTAATTTTCTGTAGAGAAATGCGAGACCGCGTCAATATGTGTACGCTTCATTAAGTCACATTCATTTTCATGTATGCAAGGCCTGATTAGCTGCAAGGCCATATATATATATATATATATATATATATATATATATATATATATATATATATATATATATATATAATGCAAAAAATCTAACATTTCATATGTGCTGAATTCTATGAAAATGAATTAATCTGAAAAGTAGCGTGATTTGCATGCAGACAATAAGATCCACAAGCGTACCACAAGTTTTACAAATGCATAAATTCAAGTGTGCACGTTTCAATTTGCACAACTAGGAACATTCTGCACGTACAAATTCTCAAATACACGAGCACAAACCACCTGCTCATAACTCCTTTATTAAAACACATGCACTAACATTAACATAACTGGATTTTAATAATTAACGGAACTGTTCAGTCAAAATAAACAACCTAAAATGAGCAGATTATTCTTCATTTGGAAAATGTTTTTGAAACAAAAAACATTTTAAGTGTTTTAATATAGTTTGAGCTACTGTGTCATGCTTGAAATGCGTCTTTTCCCATTAACTCAGTAAATCTGGTAAAGCTCTGATGTCCCATCTTTCCGCCAGCCTTGAACGCACCATTACCATGGTGACTCTGTTTCAGACGTCACGTTCACAGGCAGCTGATCCGTGCGCGTGCGCAGCAGCTGATTTGTTCTCGTGTTTTTGACGCTGTGCGCAGAGTGTTCCTACTTGTGCAAACTGAAATGTGTTCCTTTGAGAAACTGTTCATGCATTTGTAAAACATGCGCACTTGTGGGTCTTATTGTACGCATGCAAATGTCGTGCGCGCGCGTGCCTTCCTTGAGACTATGTTCATAGTGTTCTGTTGGGCCTTCTCTGAAGGTGCAGAAGGCCTTGAGGGTCCCCACCCGGTCCAAACCCCGCAGGTCTGACCCCCCTACAGGTCTGCAGTGTGACCACTAGAAGGCAGAATCACAGCAACAAACGAGTTGGCGCCTCATCGTGTGCACGACATGTCTAAATTAAATTATGTTAGTTCAGCCTGATTAATAATAATAATAATAATAAAGTGTTTATTTTTGTTATTAATGCCGCCAACTTGTTGGAACACATTTAAAACATCTACTAACAAACAAAATAAAAACATGATTAATACCTCACATCTAGTTATGATTAAGAAACCACACATAAGCGTGAGTGTGCGTGCGCGCGCGCAGTTAGACGCATAACTACGCAGCCGTGCGTGCGTGCGTGCCCGGACGCGCAGCAGCGGAGAGTTGAAGCGAACATCTTCGACTTTTCAAAGCGAACACACTTCACCGCTGCTCGGCTGCTCCGCCCGCCGACATGCCCCGCACCGCCCGCCGTCTGCGCGGGACGAACTGTGGACGTAGCGCCTGCTAGCTGCGGGGAAGATGAGCGACGCGGGCAGCGCAGGGAACAGCGTGCCTTGTTCGGAGCTGGACGGCTCGTGTGTCGGAGCGCAGGAGTCGGAGCGCGGCGAGGCCAGCAGAAGCCTGTAGCACCGAGCTAGCTGCGCGGCTAGCTTCCTAAGGTTACAGGTGTTGAGGTAGCAAATAACCAAACACAAGTCGTAGCTGTCGATTGCTGCCAACAAGTTAAGCTCTAATATATTTATGTAACACTGCCCTAAACGTGCCTGCTGTTGTATTTTTAGCAGAAGTACCAGTATAAGTGATTGTTGTTAGCCGTTAGCCGCTGCTCCGTGTTTACAGCAGCAGGCTAGCTAGCGTTAGCCTCCGAGTTCACTTTACTGCTACATGTGCTTATTTTCTCGTTTTTAAAGCTGCGCTTTTTCTCGTTGCCCCCCCGACTCAAATTGGGACTCGCTTTGTGGTTTGGATTCATTAGCCCCCCCTTTTTTTTGTTGTTGTAAAGAAGCAAGTGTAACTTTTCCACCGTGCCTGCCCGGACTGACCCACCCGCACAGACTGATCTATCCGGGGCCGATGCTGACAGTTCAGCCCGGATCACGGCCACGCCAGGAGCCGCTCCAACGATGCAGCCCCAGCAGATCTATGACTTTCCAAGTGACGACAACAATCACAAATGGAGAGGCCTCTTCGTGCAAGCTTTACGAAAGGTACAACTGCACTCTTCAACCTTTGCAATCCGTTTCAAAACGTTTCACCCAGATTCGTTGACAGGTCTCCAGTACAGGTGAACCAGAAAACTTCCAGATGTTTGTGACTGCTGCACACATGGAGTTACTGAAGCTGCTCTCTTATATTTCTAATTTGTGCGTTTAATTCGACAGTTTGTTCCTCAATAAGCAGTTTAATGTTCAAGAGTAATCTGCTGTGTGAGCCGTGTTTCACACTTTTATGGTGTGTTAATAACTTGGATTAGCTTTACCATTGTGAAACACTTTTATGGGATAAGTGCTGCTTCCAGACACTTTGTTTCTCTTTAGGTCAGACAGTAAAGGTGTCGTCCCCTTTCCAAAGAAATAGTCATTTTAATGATTGTGTCAAGTAAATAATTGAATTCTAAGTTTGTTGGTCAGCAGGACTGAACTGTATCGGTTCCTTTTTTACTATCCCTTTCTTTCTCTTGCATCATTTTGGCTTCATCCTGTCATCAGTGTTTTCTGTTTTCAAACCCGGCTCACGCATGGATGCAGCTCGTGTCAGGAGAGCGGTGGCAAAGGAAAGGCGTTCAGAGAGGGAACAGAACATTTATCGTTCCCTCTCTGATGCATATTGACTGAAATGGCACAATGTGTTGTTGATTTGTTTACATGCAGGTGGCTTGAAAACACAAACTGCAACAAGTGTTCACAGCCTGCACCTCATCTCGGTCGTTTACCCTTGATGTTTCTGCAGTCAGACTCACTTCCAGATGGAAACGCATCCTCTGACAAAATGACAACAACATGGAGAAATGCCATTTTTGTAGCAAAGAGCTGACACTCGACTCATACTGATCAAAAACCACATGCTTCGTTTCACTGGAGTAAATTAGAAACTTATCAGCTGAGAACCATTTTTGGAAAGGGGCATAGTTAGATAAATATTTGTGTTCCAAAAATAGATGGAGGGAAAAATGTGGAGCAAGTTTGTTCCCAGCATGAGCCACATCTGGTTGCTCTGGTTCTGTGTTTTTCGGTGCTCTGACCCATTATTACTGGTGCTACCCTTTTCTATTCTGTTGTGATTTACACGTCCAAGTGTGAATGAGAGAAATTTAATTTCCTGTAAAATGCAGCGCTTGTTGCTGAAGGATTTTGCTAAAAGCTGCTGAAGAAGCGTACTTGAAATACACCAATAGTCGAAGTAGAGAAAAAGCTGACAATGGCACAAATAACTGGAGTAGGCAGAAAGAAGCTGAAATGATCACATACGTTGAAATTAGCTGAAAAGGAGTCAAAAAGATTAAATTAGCTGAAATGTGGCTAAGAAAGCAGATAAAATAGAAATTAGCAGAAACTGTCTGAAAGGAGCAGGAAATAAAATGAGCAAAAAAAAAAAAAGCTGAACCAGAGCAGAAGCTGAAATGAGCAGAAGGTTTTAAACAGCTAAAGGGTTTGCAGGATTTGAAGAGCTCCTGTCATTTTCAGTGAGAAAAACATGGCCGACAAAGCTAAATATTTCAAAAAGTAAATAGTGCACAGATATTACAGCAGGAACGAGCTGAACGTTTTGATACATGAATTGTTGAAATAATATTTACGTGGCAGAAAAATGTACAGAAGAAAACCTGATTTCAATAATGTGAATGATTTCGAAACATTCAATTAAAATGGTTTTATTTGAAAGCTTTATCTGGCTGTACATAAATACAATTTGAGTTCAAAAAAGTTTTCAGGATTTTCACACTAATCTTTAAACCCTTATAAAGATTAAATTTAACCCAAAAGAGTTCAAGTTATTTCATTAACCCTGAAACAAGATACAGAAACAAATGAGGCTTCGCGTTTCTTGAAGGAATGCATGTCACCCGCTGCCTGCGGGAGCTTTAGGCCAAAATCATTTTAGGTTGAGAAATGAAGTTGTAGCAGTTTTGTTCAAAGGTTGTGCGTTATACTGTGATAGTCACGCTCAGACTGTGTGTTGTGACAGACTCTCAGGTACTACCACACCAAGTTTTAGCTCATTAACTGTAAAACTGACGACGCTCGACTTTTTGTGCTTGACTATGTTTTAGCTGCGGCAGCCATATTGAACTGACGTTACATTTACAAATGACAGCGGTAACGTGGTCAGTTGTTGGTGTTGCATCAGAAATTGTGATGAGTCAGGTGAAAAAGCAGGTGGTGGGTAATGGTGTACTGTCACTGTCTCAACTTGCTGCACAAACACCAGAGGGAAAGTCATTTGTGGGGGTGGGGGTGTGATGGTTTCGACAGCCTGTGACTCGCTGTTTTTCACAGCTGTCCGTGAGGGTGGTGGTGGGGGGTGGAGAGGCTTTCTTGTCAAAAAGAAGTATCAATGGATGACGTAATCTGACAGATTTCCAGATTGTTGACGATAAGCAGGAGAGGGAAAAACCCGTCGGGGTCTCAGAGACTAGGACGGTGCTAGACTTGGGCCCAGTTTCCACAATATCAAACGTTGGCTTATCTGACACCAAAACCTTTAGTTCAGAGTGCACGTTATTCAGAACTCCTGCCATTGTTCACAGGAGGAATCTAATTTACCTGGATGTGTACGCTTTTGCACGTGCGCACTGCAGTTAATCAGTAGTGTTGATCAGAGATGACGTCATGAGAATTGTGGGGACTCTCCAAAGTCCCAGATGTCCAGCGGACCACAAGCAGGGCTGGACGCTATGGACAAAACTTTTATCACGATATATCTCTCAGTTTTGGTCGATAATGATATAATTCGATATAAACGATATAAAAGCCTCAGAAAAACAGTACAGACCGTACAAATAAATGAATGTTCACCTTTTATTTGTATTCAGCCTTAACATTTTGAAATCGCCGTCAAATAAACATAAAACTCTGAACTTTGTCAATATCAATAGTTTTAACTGTAAACAACAACAGAACCTAACAACGCATGCAGCAAACGTCTGCGTCTGCCGCATGCGTTTCTCTTTTGATGCAGCTGGGGGTGATGTTTCAGGAACACGTTGCTCAAACTTATTGTGCTTCATCTTCTGACTCTCAGCAGATTCTGTCCAGTGGAACAAGTTCGATGTTCCCACCGCTGGTTGGAACGATTCCGTCACATTTGGCAACGCACTGAAACTTTCAGTTTATCGGATCTTAGAAAGCCGGACCACTTCCACACCTCCGAATCAGTCTTTCCTCTCATCAATGATGTCATCTGCTTTCTGTTCGCTGTGAAACCTTGTTCAGTCACGTTCTGACGGGAACTCATTTTGAAGCGGAAACTTAACGCGCGTTGGAGGTTAGCCTAGCCTGCTATCGCTAACGCCTTCTGGACTTCAGCTCTGCGTAACATCTACGTCACCACGCACTCACGTAGTTGTGTCGCACCTTTTTATGTCCGGGTTAAACTGAAGCAGTCGCTTCAACGCGAACAGAAAAAGAAATGCGCCGGTGAAACGCTGTGATCATATCGAAAATCTGCTTAAAACTCATATCACCGTTATTGAATAAAATATATCGTGGCGTACTCGTGTATAAAGTATATCGTGGCGTACTGTATATCGATATCGAATTATTGTCCAGCTCTAACCACAAGCGTAATTGTTACCTCTAATGCTTTTGTCCTTGTAAACTTGAAGGAAGACGACGTTCCCAGGGCCAGAATCAACTTGGACTGTATTGAAGGATAAGCAATGCACAGCTCAAGCACGTTGCAGGGGACTAGCATTGTCTGGCAACTGGGCCGAATTGATAATACGTGTGGCGTTCCCGGTGTTTTTGTGCTAATTCGTGCTCTTTTAACTCGGTGAAAAAGAGCACGAATGACACAAAATTGTGTGCATGATGAATGCCACTGATTGGCCTTGTCTTGCACAGGTTTTCGGCAGCAGGGTGAAGAATGATTTTGCCAACTGCTTTTATTTTACTTTGTCAGCCGGTGTGAGCTGTTGGAGATTGGTTCTTTTACTCTGTAGCGCTGAATTAAGTGTCTAAAGGCGCCTAATGTCAGCATGGATGTGTTTAAAGAAGTTGTTCAGTGCTCCTGTTAGTTTCTGACTTGAAAGGAGCGAGCAGGTGAAACATAGTGGACAGATGGACATACCTGCTCAGGGACTGCAGTCACTGGTATGGGATCAGGGTGCTCCTCTGGTGGCCCGTTTCCGCCGACATGTTTCGAACATACAGTACGCAACTACAGTGATCCATCACCTGGTGTGGTGGTTACGTTCCAGAGACCCCCGCGATAGCTGAAAATCCACAATGTAGTGGCATTATTTTTATTTTTTCTATGTAAGAATATATTTTAGGGATAAACCCACCTGTATAACAAAATATGAAGGCCTCCATGTGTTCCTTTTTAAAGGGAAACATAACCATGCTGCTATCAGTATCAAGCTGCTAACTGGACCATGTTTGTAAGATAACCTGTCATCAGAACCGCTCTGCCAATAGGACCGTGCTGCTGTAGATTTATCTCTTTATCACGTTTGGCGCCTTGTTTCTGTATTTTTGTTGCAAGCTTTGAGTAAATCCCAGTTTGTTAGATTTGGGGTCGGCTCCGAGCCCGACTCCGCTCACATTAGTGTGTGAACTGTAGCCGAACAGAACTTATGACGGAACAGAATGTTTGGTGTATTGTTGTGCACTATTAGTGATATATTTGAGATCTTTTAGCGTACCTTTGGGCGTTCGTTTAGCGTATATCTTAGTTTATATCTTAGCTCCTTATTTACAGTTTCTTTTTACACTTTATATTTTTGATGTTGTTGGATGTAACTGGGACCTTGTGCACATAGTTTTGTTCCACCTCATGTACCACATGTGGTGTGGATGACAATAAGAACCTTGAATGCTTGAATCCAGAAGTCTCGTACCGTGCAGTTCTTTACACAGTTGATGTTTACACTCTGCGTCTGTGTGAGCAACAGTGACTAATGTTACCTCTGCCATGAATATTATGATGCTCATTATAACAGATTCAAGTCTGATGTTCCTCTGGGATGGAGAAGTTGGCCAGAGCT